ACACATTTACTTTTCTCTCTATAGTGTTTTAGCCCTAACTTAACTTGATTGATAAAGAGCAAAAGAGCACAAACTGGTTTGGCTCAAGGATCCCAGGTTCAATTCTGATCAGGAGCATGTACCTTGTTTGCGGGCACATATCCAGTAGGGAGTGTATAGGAGGCAGCTGGTAGATGTTTCTGTCTCATTGATATTTCTAACTCTTTATCCCTTCCCTTTCTCTCTGTAAAAAATTAATAAAATATTTTTTTAAAAAGAACAAAATAATATGAATTTGCACTTTTTTCTACACTGGATGCATAAGTAAGCAAACACACACACACACACACACACACACACACACCACTGTACAAAATTTAGTCATGTGACATGAACATACTGGCCACAGCCAAAATGAGAGAATAAATAAACATCATCTACTGACACCAGCAGCTCAGTTTCTTAAGGCCAAATTAACACATTGAAAGCAAATATTTGTCTAGAACTCATTATAGTCAACCCTCTCAGCCAAGTGTATGTCACCACAGTTAGGCATGAAAAAAAAACAAGACACTATGCACTCATCTTGTCTCCAAAACAAAGGGAGAAATTCAAGAGACTTGATAAGAATAAAATCTCTCTGCTGGCTGATGGTGGGGAAGAAAAGAAACTGGTTCATCTGTCTCCCTGAACTTACATTTGACTCGGGCCATCAAATGACTATATTCTACCCTTTTGCAACTAAAACACATCCAGTCAATATGTCAGCAGCTGCCTATCCCGGTTACTAGCAAAGAAGGTGTCAATTTAAAAAATTCAAGTAACCTTGTTTGAAATACTACTGTAGATATTCTGGGACGCTGCTGGAAGTAATGTTTTATAAACCCAAAGAGTTTAATGTTTCAAACATTATAAACCACCACGACATTGCTTTTAAAATCTCATATCAACGCTACAAACTACAAAGACCCAAGCTACAAAAATGGAATTTCCAAGAAAGCTTTCAAAGAAAAACAACCAGGTTTTGCAGCAAGCTGCCCTGCTTACACTGAATCCCTGAGATAATGTAGATCATGCTGCCCTCTAGTGCCGGATGTAAAAAAATGAAATGAATTCTGCGTTCGCAAGGAAAACAGGACTTAAATTTAAAACAGAAATTATCTCGTAACTTTTGAAGGACTTACTGCTGACCTGGGATTGCGTTACCCTTGTGTTAAGAGCTCATAGAACTGAAAGGAGCTACGATGATGGAGGACAAAGGTCAACAGCACAGGGACACGTCATGTGACACTAGACAACTCAAGTTGCGATCAAAATGAGTAGGAAACATTATGGCAGCTGAAAATGTGCGGGTCTTAAATAGACACACAATACTATTAGCAAAATACATCTTAGGGGGAGAGAATAAAAAACAGAGATGGCTGAGAGCAAGGAAGGTAAAAAGAAGAAAACTAGTTTTGGCCATTGTAAGGCCTCACACTAGTTGATTCAAGTTTTACCCAAACAGCTTATATATAAGATTATGAAATACCAATACACAAGAAAGTGTCATGTTATATAGACAACTAAACAAGGTAACTTCGTGCAACCATATGGATTTAAAATGGAGAGGAACATAGTCATGCAGCTTGGAGCAATGGAACCTTCTTACAGATCAGCTCTGGAACAGCTCACATTCAGAGAAACTCTGCTATTGAGAAGAAACCTGCACTTCCAGGTCCCCTTGCTCTTCTGCTTAAGTCCAACTGGGTGAACTTGGATGTTGGCAGGGTTGCCAGTGGCTGATTCAAGACCCTGCCCTGAAGGCCTGGTTCTCTGCAAACTTGCAAAGTGTCCCCTGATGACGAGCAAAATGCATGGGGATCGGGGAGAAAATACTAGAAGGGAGACAACACATCTGGATTAGAAGCACCTATGAATGAGTGTAAACAACATTGCTACAATCAGGATCATTGATCAGGGTCATTGGGAATATTATGGCAGAAGCTGGAACTGGGGGGCAAATATGGAAGGGAACTCTGGAAAGTCCTCCACAAATCTAAGCAGGGCTATGGTCCGGGCCTCTGCCTGGAGTTCTGGTTTCTGTACCAGTCCCCACCCAAGTCCAGCTTGCTAAAAACTAAAGTCGGTCCCAAACTCACAATGTTTAGATTTAAGATTGTTTGACTTCCTATATTCAGTAGGAACCATACTCCTCTAATATTGAATTTTGCTCTCTTCCCAGGCTAGTGATATACAATGCGATGCTCTCTTGTGATGCTGGGGAGCGGAAGCAAGATGATTTTGCCCAACTGACAGCTACGGTGAGTGCTCCGAGCATGTTTAAGGTAGGCTAGGCTAAGCTCTGGTGTTTCCTAGGTTAGTTATATTAAGTGCACTTTCAATTTACACAATTACAATTATGACAATTTCAACTTACATGGGTTTACTGGAGGTAACCCCATAAATCGAGGAGCCTATGTACACACTGACAAAAAGCCTGTCCCCTCGGTTTTATAAAATCTGGGGGTCGTCAGGACCCTGAGCTCACGGGAACACACTGACTCCTGGGTCTCTCTGAGAGTGAGCTCTCAATGGCAGAAGAGAAAGTATGCCTCCTCCAGGCTCCGTGCTGCTCAGAGGACAATCTGTGACTCGGGGAGCAACACTACTCGAGACACTTGTGAACATGTAATGGACTTAAAAACGGAACATGCGTACCTCACTACTCTAGAGGGGAATTTTTAAAAATAATATATAACTACTAAAGTATATAGAATCAATGTCAACTAGGAGGCATAATTCATAGTTTTGGCTTGATCTTCCCATTTTCAGAAGTACAAAACTTTTATCCAAATGGAAATTAAAAATCTACCACATAAAAAATTTTCTTGAATTCAAAGCACCTCTTAATCTACCACTGAAAGAGTAAATAACTCATAGGCCCTCAACATTTTGGGCAAGCAAGGCCTAGCTCTGGTGTACTTACGGGGGCTATTATTTTCTTGATGGAGTCAAGTCCTGCAATAGATGCAGGAGGGGGAGGCAAGATAAGCGTTCCTGTGCCGCTCTGCGATGAGCAACCTCGCAGATTGAGACTTGGTCCCCAAATTTGTAAATTTTGAAAAACCAGCACGTGGGGAAGCCAACGGGTCTTGCACATGAACAGTCTGGTTAATGGTGGTCGCAAGCATTCAGGGACAGTGATGACAGAAATGCAGTCCCACTTGATGCTCCAAACTTGATGGCTGTAGTTTTCACATTAACTGGCAAAGTGGAGCAACTTTAAGACTACCTAAGTCGCAGAAACCGGTTTGGCTCAGTGGATAGAGCGTCGGTCTGCAAACTGAAAAGTCCCAGGTTTGATTTTGGTCAAGGGCATATACATTGGTTGTGGGCACATCCGGGAGCGGGGGGGGGGGGGGGGGGGGGGGCTCTGTGCAGGAGACAGAAGATCGATGTTTCTCTCTCATCGACATTTCTAGCTCTCTATCCCTCTTCCTTCCTCTCTGTGGAAAATCAACAAAATATATATTTTTCAAAAGATTACCTAAGTCTTCGGATCACTTGTTAACCACAGCTACAGAACACTGTCCATGGTGGGTGCCTCTGCAGTTGACAATTCCAGGTGCTTCGCACAGGCCTGGACTAAACATGGGCTGACTAAACATGGGCTGACTAAATCTACACAAGACGCTTTCCAGAAGAGTCTTATTACATCCTCACAACAGTCCTGTGACACAGAGCGGCAGTCATTTCCACCTCACAGGTGAGGAGGTGCTGAGGCGTCATTGCCAAGGTCACCAGGCACTGGCCATGGTCTGAGCCCTGTGATTGTATCAACCTATTGAATTCGCACAATATCTGAGCAAGGTAGGTATGAACAGCATCCGCATGTGACAGAGGGGAAAACCCAGGCTCAGAGAAATTAAGTGACTAGAGCACATAAATATCAATGCAACTATAAACGGTTATTACTTAGGAATTCACACCAGGCAGTGGGCTCTGGAGGCCACACTTTTAACCACAGCTACCTGCTCTGAGATTTGCCTACCCAATAATACCTACATGCTCTGGCCCGGGTCACATGGCAAGTTAATAGCCAGACCAAGGCTACCTGTGTGCTCCCTCTAACCCACCTCCCTGCCTCCACAGGTTCTGTCAATCACCACTACCTGCAAAAACTGTCAATCATCACTACCTGCAAAAGCTGTCAATCATCACTACCTGCAAAAGCAAAGGCGCCCTGGGCTTTACCACAAGTCTAACCAATTGGACAGAGCGGGGATGCATGCTCATGGCCTACCTCTTCATAGGAACCCAGTTGGGGGTCCACCCTCAGAAACAGGACAGGTCAAGGCCTCCTGGCGGAGGCATCCACTGCTTGGAAACCAGCAGGTACACTCATACCAACAAAATTACTCCCGGCAGCCCACCTGGCAGGTAGGACCAAGCCTCCAATATGTAACCAGAAGTCTAGTTTAAAACTATAGTTCATAGCTTTTACTGAAGAGGATAGATGTCTGCATTTCACCCAGCTTGCATTTTAATTAGCTTTTCATAACCATGTTAGGTCAACCTCAGAGAGCTGGTGAAGAGGTCTGGTTTAGAGATGGGTGGGCATTGAAGGAAACACACAGCCTGTCTCATGGGGAGAGACTCCTTGTGAAAAGGGCCCACCTAAAGGGTGGCCCTGCTTCCCACTGTACTCCAGCCAGCGTTTAGGCAGCTGGTCAACCACATTTAAATAAGTTTGCATTGCATGCACGGTGTTTCCTATGGCACACAGCAAATGGCTTCCATAGTCATTCGCAGGGTGAATGTTCGTTTTTCTTTCCGCACACACAAACTGGAATAAAAGCTGTGTGCCCCTCTATTCCGATTTTCTCTGGGAGGAAACCAGTGAAGCTCTTTATAGAAAGTGAATCAACACACAAAGTGATTGGGCTCCAAGCGGTGCCTCCACTTTCCAACAGTGAAGCGCAATCGGGACATTAAGTGTGTTAAGACATACTTGCCAATTAACTTGGTATCTGACTTACCTATTGGATTTCTATCAAAGAACAGTACCGGGGCTCTCAGAATGGACTCAAACATCTTGTTGTGTAAAGTCTGGGAAGAGTTAACTAGGACGTAGAATACCAACAGAGATCTTGCTATGCCGAAGATGACGGTAGACACAGTTAAACCTGAAACGAAGAAACAGCCCTCAGCACGAGGTCTCTGCACTCCCTTCAACAATGCTAACAGGTGGCAGGCAGATTATAAAGAGCTCGTGTATTCTATTCCACAAAGGATGTGGGCTCTATTAGTTTAATGCATTTACCTTAGCTGGTTTGGCTCAATGGATAGAGCATTAGCCTGCGGACTGAAGAGTCCTAGGTTCGATTCCGGCCAAGGGCATATGCCTAGGTTGCAGGCTCGATCCCCAGTAGGGGGCAAGCAGGAATCAGCCAATCAATGATTCTCTCTCATCATTGATGTTTCTATCTCTCTCCCCCTCTCTTTCCATCTCTAAAATCAATAAAATACATTTTTTTAAAAGTTTAATGCATTTGCAAGATACATTTATAAAGACTATAAAATAATTTGTTTTTCTCTCAAATAGAAACTGGAGGGGAGCGGTAGGGGGGAGGGTGCAATGGGCCCCCACAGATAGGAAATCAGGTGTAAAGTATAGTTTCATTCTAGTCTTTCCTAATTCAATTACATGTTCTATTAAAAACTCAAAATAAAGACAATTATAAAAGCAGTTGATCTTCCCTTCTCCATATTCCAAATCTTACTACTTACAACATGTCCCATGCTCTAAAATTATGGTATGTTTTTATACCAGCATGTGATATTAACAGGGAAGAGGAGAAATAATTGACCGTGTCCTTGTAAAAAATGCCCAAGTGCCTTTGAAGAACATAAAAATACCATCTGAAGGTGCAATTAGAAAACCTCTTAAATAACTGAATTTCGAGAAAATACAAAGCATATTATAACATAATTAATCTGAATGAGGGACTAATCTCACTAAGTGTTTTATATAAATAAGGCATCTCATATAGACATAATCCTTTAAATTATATAATATTTTATTAATGACATAAATGAATACCTATTCTGCACATTAACATAGCTCTCCTAACATCTCTGGAAGCCACACATCTACATAAAGTAGAGATAACTTTTTCAATCAATATTCTACTAAGTACTTTTTCCCCCTTCAGATAACACATTATTTGTTCAAACTTTGAAAGCTGGTCAGATTTTTTAATTCCATCCACAGGCATTGTCCATAGCCTATCATACTCCATGAATATATGACAGAATCATTTCCCTCTTCCTTTAGGTCATCCATTGTCCACCAATATGAAAGGTGAACAGCGAATGGATTTAGATTTCTTAGCAAGTGATCAATGAAATAAATACCACATTTCAATGAGTGGGTTCTTACCAACAGGACTCACTCTAGCTTTGAGGAACGCATGCATGCGTGTCTCCAGTGAGGATACTTAACATTTTAGATGAGGATTTCCTTTTAAAAGTATGGAATGCTACGTACATTCTAAGCACTCTTGTGAAAATGGAGCTTGGTGTTAATACTGGCCTGGCAAGCCAAATGTTAAATTACTCCCACAGTTGGGAAGGCGATAACATTGTGATCTCGAGGTAAGAAAGAGAAGGCAGCCTAATTCCCAGACACTGGGCTTCTCCCTGGTTAGCTTCCCTCCTAAGTAATTAGTGAAGCCCAAGTGCCGAGCAGCACGGTGAGGGAAGCTTTGCATACCTGGGAGGGAATAATGCTGTTTTATTTGGGGGACCTTGCTGCCAGAGGATTGCATCCAAGTTCAACAAAAGCCAGGTTTTATTCACACAGAATTGGAACAATCTGAACCAGAGGGTGGGGATCCGTTTCTAATCCCCTTGCCCATCCATATAATAATATAAGATTTAGCTAAAGCAACCTATTAGAATAGACAATAGCCACATATTTCCGGTGGCTGGTTTTCTGAATGCTCAATCCCGGTTTAACTTCCAAAATCCAGTACAGAGCAAATTAAGAGTCTTCACTGAACCTCTTTCTTCTAGTAGATTTTTCAAAATAATTATTCTAATTAATTCACAAGAGTAAATGCGACTCAGACCCTTAATCTGTGAAGATATTACTGAATTACTCCCTAGTTCCTCACACAGGCTCATTGTAAGCACCTCAAACTCTCACATAATAGACCAAGTGATGACACTTTACCTGAATAAATCCCTAAGTACCAGTCAAGAGACAACTCTTTAGTTACATTTCCTTGTCCATTTGCAGTGACATTCCCAGCGCTCTGCTGATTTGCCCTATAGAACAAGGCAGGACAAATATTAAACTACCGATGGAACTTAGATAAATACCAAAACAAACAAACACAACACAAAACAAAACAAAACCACTTATCCCCAACGGGGTAGACATGTTGTATGCTAGAAGATGACTCCCAGCTCCCAGGGTTGTGTGGGTGTCTGTCTACCTTATAAAAATTTAATTTGAATCATGACTTTGAGGTCTCAGAATTGTTCGCGAAGACCCTGCTGAGAATCCGACATAGGAGAGACCGGGGGCGGGTCATGGTCTACCAGCAAGAACTTCCTTTTTCTTCAGGGAAACTAAGTGAGGTCTAGAGGAGAAGGCTGCGCAAACCCCCACACCCCAACCCACCCCCGCCCCCTGCTTCTGCGGGGGAGGGAGGCTTCACCTCGATTTTACAGCACCTCCAACCAGCCCAGAAATAACTCACCAGTATGACAGCCACCAGTCCTGAAGAATATAGGAAAGCTAGGGCAGGGAAACAAACAAACACAAAGATCAAATCCTAGTATTACTTTTCAACTCAAAAAACTGTCACTCACTAAAATGAGTAATGGAAAGGCCCCAGAAAATGGGAGGGTTCTTCAAGTTCAGGTCACGGTTGTGCCAAACCCAACATCCCCGATAACAAAGGGTCAAGTAAGTGCACAGTACATTCTTAAATCTTTAAAAGGCATCCCGTATTTTCCCCCTAGAAATTCCTTGCAATGGACATGCGACACCAGGAGGCATCGCTTTTTCTGATCCCCACAAATAGTACATTTCAATGCAAATCCAAGTGAATTGCAAAATACAGTAATACAGTATGAACAGATACAGTATAAATGTAAATGTTACTGTAAATATCAAGCTGAGGGCACAAAACAAAGCCAAAGCCCCTAGATACCTGAGCCACAATGTTGACTAGAATAAGGAGAATGATGGTGAACCAGTGAGCACCAGCTATGAAGTAATTCTTGTAGGCCTTAAGACCAATTTTTCCTTCGGAACGGCTCTCCTCGGCTACTGCAACCTGTACATTCTCAACCTGGGAAGGAAAAAGGCAGTGAGAGACAAAACTTTAAGTGATGCCCAAATTTCAAAAGTTCACTCCACTGGCAAAGCCGTGGGAAAACAGACACATCACATGTACTGGTAGAAGTGCAAAATGGTACATCTCCTAGGGAGTGGGGTGTGGAAAGATCCAACCACACCACATATACATTTGCCCTTGGACCCAGCCATCCCACTTCCTGGAATCTTTAGAAATAAGGAAGGTTAACATTGTTTTATGCTTTTGCTTAATGCCATGATTTCCAGCACATGCACAACATACTGGATTCAAGTATAAATGCAGAAGCAAGTCCCAAAATAATATACAAAACTAGAGGCTTGGTGCACGGATTCGTGTATGGTGGGGCCCCTCAGCATGGCCTGCAGGGATCAGACCAAAACCAGCTCTCTGACATCCTCTGAGGGGTTCCAGATTGTGAGAGGGTGGTTCTTGGGTGACACACCCTGGAATCAGACTTTATTAGCTGCCAAGTCACTGCAGCTCAGCAGCTCCTGCATTGAGAGTCTGCTCCCTGGTGGTCAGTGCATGTCATAGTTACTGGTCAGACGGTCAGACAGTTGGGCGGTCACTTAGGCTTTTATATATATATATATATATATATATATATATATATATATATACACATACATATGATAGGGAACCAATGTATCACTATTGGTGTCACTCAATAATGTAAATATGAAACACAGGAGGAGTTCAAAATATTAGCTAAATACAGTAAACTGAGTCTGAACATTGAGATGGAGTGATCAGAGTTTGAATAACAAGGGAGACTATATGAACTGAATCAATTTGTTGTAAAGAGTGATTCCCGAGATTCAAATGTGAGAGACTAATTTGAATACTTGAATAATCCGAGTCCCGGATTTGGATAGTAATGTTCACATATCGAAGAATACAATGAATATTTTTAAGGAAGATCTAGTGCATTTCTGCACTTCCATGTGGAGGACTTAGATTATAAATTCACATGATCTCACTCACATGTGGAATCTAATGAACAAAATAAACTGATAAACAAAACCAATCCAGAGACACAGAAGCATGGAACAGACTGTCAAATCTCAGAGGAAAGACAGGGAGGGTGTGTGGGTGGGAAGAGATCAACCAAAGAACTTGTATGCATATACGCATAACTAATGGACAATAGAGTGGTGAAGAACTTGTATGCATATACGCATAACTAATGGACAATAGAGTGGTGAGGGTGGGCTAAAAGGGAGAGGAAAAGGGGGACATATTTAATACTTTCAACAATAAAGGATTTTTTTTTTTTAATCAATGCAACAACAAAAAATAAGTAAAAGTAGCTGATTTTATGAGGGCCAAGGCAGGTCACAGTCTGAGGGGGTCTCCAAAGTAAGACTCTGATTGCAAGAGAGAAGCCTGGGGCCACCAGAGCAAGTAGGATTAACCGGTGATAAACTTGTATGCTAGCATCAATCACTGTGAGCCACATACACCTAGGAATTGACAGCCGAACATCCACTACCGATGTCTACAATCTCCTCCATCCCATAGCAAAGGAGAACCCCAATGGGGCGTGCTCCCTTCATTCTGTTTTAATTCTACAAAGCCCATGGGTTAAGGCTTTGGAACCTCGAGATCTACTTTGGGACAAATAAAATGTCATGGGCAGAGCAGAATGAAGGTCCATGAGGCCACTAACAGCGGACAGAGTCGGGCATGTTGCCAGAGGAGATACTCACAGCTTGGCTCTCCGGGGCACCTTCTTTCAACGAGGGCCTAGACGACTGTTGAGACCAAATTGAAGACTCTGAGAAGGTGCGGTGCCTCAGCTTGGGACTTCCTGAAATGGAAGCTTGTTCAGCCTCCTCGTTTTCCTTCTTTAAAAGGGAACCAAAATCTACCCCGGATTTCAGGAACTCAGTGTAAGTCCCCTTTTGCACCATTTTACCCTAAAATAAAAATAAGGAATTTGAGATAAATCAGTTTGCATTTGATAATAATAATCTGACATAATACTAATCAAGAAATGTTTATTGGTCTTAAATTATGATTTTTGTAAGAAAATAGTGATCAGTCTGGAATTCTGGCTAACAAATCTAGTTTAATTCAATGTGGAACTGAGCATTCTCTGCTAAACCCTATGTTAAGTACTAGACCGTATGAAGGAAATGGGGAATCGTGTATTAAAAGTAGATATCACTGATAGAACTACCATGGCCTTTTAAGGAAGCCAAGAGCATAGATGTTGGTGAGAATATCAGAAATCTTTTTAGATGGCATGGAAATTGAGCACTTGTAACAAGCAGACTTGAAAAGAACACAATTAGGGAGGATAATCCAGGAAAAAACAACAACTTAAAATTGATGCACAACCTGGCCAGTTTGACCCAGTGGATTGAGTGTTGGCCTGCAGACTGAGGGGTCCCAGGTTCGATTCTGGTCAAGGACATGTCTCTTCCCTGGCCCAGGTCTGGGTACGTGAAGGAGGCAACCAATCTATGTGTTTCTCTCACATCAATATTTGCCTATCTTTCCCTATCTCTGTCATTCTCTTTAAAAAAAAAAAAAAATCAATGGAGAAATGTCCTCAGGTGAGGATTTTAAAAATTAAATAAATTATGCATTGGTATTTGTTTTTAAAAAATTATGTACAAGTACTCCTATATAGGTAAAAGTCACTCATCAAGTCACTGCAGACCACAGTCATAGAGCCTGCCATGGACCTCGCTGGTTCGAGACCTGTGGGGACTAGCCCTGGACACAACCCATGAGCTGCATCTTCATGATCTTTAAAACTGCCCCCCAAAACTCAGGAAGTTCAATGTTCCATGTGTTAAAATAATTAAACATTCAGTCCATTAGACTGTGATGGCCCTAATACCTCAGTAGCCTATGCAAGGAACCCAAAACCTACCCCAGGATCGACGCACTCAAATCCGAGAAAACAAAACTGAACAAGTACAAGCAGCCATAGACTTTCCCAAGTCAGTCAACTGCTCAAGTTACAGCCAATCAAGTAATATTTCTGAAGACCTGTGACACTTCCTGTCCTTACAAAGTTATATAAAAAATATGCAGATGTTTTCACTATCTTATCACCCTGTGGAATAAGACTCAACTGATTCACTCAACAGTAAACAAATACTGGGCAAAATCCCAGGTGCAAAACAAATCAAAGGTCAGCCTTGGTTCAGGCAGATCAGAGGGAAAAAGGACCATCCCTCCTTGTGTCCCCCTCAGTCCATCCCCCCAAGGTGAGCCACCAAGAAAAACCCAGTGAAGCTTTGGGAAACCATCTGATATGGCAGAATTAGAAAATTATTCGTGAGTATACTGTGTTGCCGGGGGCCAAAGGACAACAAGCATTTGCTTGAAAATGCAAAAGAAACATCAGAAGGCCAATGGACCTTGACTCCAGTGGGCTGAAATCGGCACTGTGTCTTATTCCACTTCGGAGGCAAATGCATACGAACTCACTTAATGAAATTACAACTTTCTACTTAGTATCTGTGAGATGCTAGTGGTATAGACATAGCAATTTTACTCAGCCAAGCACTGATAATTCCAAGAGGGGATTGGTGTAGGGGGGCAGCCAACCCCTCTGCTTTGAGAGAGGGACCAAGTGAACAGTAAGGATGAACCCAACTCATTCAGGGTGCTCACCAGTGGACACATGTTTAGACAGTACTAATCTGGGCGTGATGTCCTCAAAGGAAGCATTAAGGGTACCCCCAAAACACCTGGGGACTAGCTTAACAGGCTATTCTCCTGCCCTGATTCTGTACTCACAATACTGCCAACACTGGGGTTATGTACCACACTAGTTTCACCCCTCTGCCCATGAACTTAATGGTTCTCAACTTGGAGAAAATCTGAGCTCCTTATCCCTGGAGGAGTGGCGAAGAGGCACCACAGGGAACTGCCTTTTTATAATCATCCATAGGAAAGAAATTCCAAGGGCCTGTTGTAACAGAAAAGGGTTAACAATGGAGGTACTGAGGCAAAAATACCAGCAAGCCAAGGAGTGATGTGTTGACCACTAAGGCTTAAAAATTTTCACTAACCTCCACCCCACCAAGCATGCTAGCTGTTTGGGACCACCATTCACCCCACAACAGATATGTCCAAGTCCTAAACATGATACCTGTGTATGTGATCTCATTTGAAAATAGGGTCTTTGTGGATGTAATCAAGTTTACATGAAGTCGTGTTAGATTAGGGTGGGCCTGAAATGACTGATGTCCTTACAAAGAGAAAGAAGAGACTCAGACAGACACAGGGACAACACAACATCATGTGACTATAAAGGCAGAGACTGCAAGCCAGGGACCGCTAAGGATAGCTAGCAAAGCACCAGAAGCTGGAAGAGGCAGGGAGGACCACCCCCGCTCTTCCCTTGAACCTTCAGTGACAACGTGGCCCTGCCAGCACCTTAACTGTGAACTTTAGCCTCTGGGACAGTTGATTAAATTTGTTTAAAGCTGCCCAGCTTGTGATATTTTGTGGTGCTGGCTCTAGAAACTGATACAACACTAGACTAAGCCCATCACTCCATCTTCTGAACTTTACTAAGACTTCTCATTGTTTTGGCTGGTGCCTCTTCAGTGACCATCAAGAGGGATCTTTTACAGTCACACCTCAGATCACACACTCCTCTGCCCTGGACTCATGCAGCCCATCTCCCTGCTCACTTGGTCTTAGCCACACGGGTCTTCCTGTTTGTTCCTCCTAGGTCAGTTCCTTCCTCAGCACCCTGCCATGGGGCCCCTTGCCCAGATGCCCTGCCCCTAGTGACTACCTGATCAGCACCTTCATGGCACTCAGGTCCTTCCTTGGGGAGGCAGTCATGATATGCCCACCCACTGTCACTTTCATCACTGTTATCTCTCCCCAAAAGGCTGGAAGTCCCATGATGGCAGGGCCTTACTTGTCTGACAAGCTGCATGGGTTCCCACATGTATCAGGCATGCAGAAAATTTTGTGCAGTGAAACTAGCAACCAAGTACACCAGGAGCATGGGTGTCTCAAACCAATGGAGGGGAGGGGGGGCGGCTCTCCCCAACCACACTTCCATCATTAATAGAAGACACACTTTAGAGAATCTGCATATAACAATCAAATGGATACAAACATGTCTTCGTATCTCTGATTTCCAAAGAACATACTTCAACTTGAATAGTAGAAGAGGAAAACAAAAAGTTCTAAATGAAATAGCATCATCACCCTAAAACAGTTTTATTTTATTTTACTTTTCTATTGATTTCAGAGAGGAAGTGAGAGGGAGAGATAGAGCCCACAAACCTGAGCATAGTGCCCTGAGTGGGAATCAAACCAGGGACCTCCTGGTTCTAAGGTCAAAGATCAACCTCTGAACCACACCAGCCAGGCTAAACAGTTATAATTTAAGGGCTAAACAGTTATAATTTAATAAGGGAGGCAGCAATTTTTATACTTTAGGGACTATAGCTTAGGATGTAATAATAATTTTTCTAAGTGTCTTGTGATTCATCCTCAAAGGCTGGGCAGAATCTCTGAGAAGACAGCGATGGAAAAGTGAGGAGGAAGAGCCAGTGTACCAGAAATATAAGGACAGCGACCTACTGGGAGGCCCTGCCTTCCACATGCCTGAGGGCTAGCAAGCTCTCAGATTTCTAGAAATTACTTACATCTTTTAATATCAGAATCTGACTTGCAGCTTTTAGGTATTGCAACTGGTGAGTCACTAAGATTGTGATCTTCTCATGCAAGGTTTGACAAATACACCTACAAATGCAAGAGGTACAGCATGCAAAAACACATTAATGGGTACTCCAAATTGAAAAGCATATATTTTGAAAACAAAGACAGCACAGTAGTCAAAGGATCTTCGGTTCAAATACAAATACAAATCAATGAAACCAACTGGGTCCTCAAACTCACCAGCAGCAAACTTAAATCTAACACCACCAAGAAATTCTAAATAGCAGTCCAGTGCAGGAGGAAACTAATGCTAAATGTTGTTGTTTTTCCACCTAAAACTCAGATTAACAATTTATTGTATTTCACACTGAAAAACAATTGAGCAATACCAAGATCCCAAAACCTGAACTGAAATGCTAATTATTTTATCCCTGTGTAGGGCTAGGAGAAAGAAGGATCTGTGTCATCTAAGAACGCGAACATTTCTCTTAAGACAGTTTCCTGGGTGAGTATTTATGACTTAAAGTGTACATATTAAACAAATGAAAGAAGTCGTAGATTCTCGGTAACCTTTGCCAGAGTGCAAGTGTTAGAAACTTCTTCCTAAATAATATTAGAGAGAAAAATAAATGCTAGTTGCAGCCTCGATGGGTTCCTACAATATTGCCAGTCCCATATGGGAAGCACACCTTCTTTTGCTAGGACTGAAAACCTGCCAAGTATGAAAACGAAAGAACAGCCGAAACTGGTTTAGCTCAGTGGATAGAGTGTCAGCCTGCGGACTGAAAGGTCCCAGGTTTGATTCTGGAAAAGTGCATGTACCTTGGTTGCAGGCACATCCCCAGTAGGGGGTGTGCAGGAGCAGGAGGCAGCTGATGGATGTTTCTCTCTCATCGATGTTTCTAACTTTCTATCCCTCTCCCTTCCTCTCTGAAAAAAAAAAAAAAAAAAAAAAAAATCAATAAAATATATTTTTTTAAAAATTAAAGAACAGAATTCAAATGGCCCAAATCACAGCAAAAATTACCCCGTGGCCCCAAAGACAACTGTGCTGTCTTTGTTTTCAAGGACACGTAGACTCTTTTATGAAGAGCCATCTCAGCATTCAACGTTGGAGTTGTTTTTACAACCCCTCAAAGTGCTCCTACATTGAAACGCAGACCCCTTGGAACTCAGACCCAGCTGCATCCTACAATGGTCTACAATCCCGCCAGCTAAGCAAGTAGTGATCACAGGCAGGGCTCTAGCCACACTTTGGTTGCCCGAGTCACACACTGAGCAAATCTCAGGAACACGGCCACAACTCAACCTGCTGGGTTAGGTCAGATCAAGAGTTCTGGAGGCACATGCAATGCAAGGAACCTCGTTTGCCATTTCAGGTCTGAAGCAGGAAAGCTGACCTGAGCAGGCATCCATACGGGAGATCTGATAAGGACAGACCCGAAGAACTCATGATGCAGGAGGTGGGGGTCTGGTGCATGGGGCTTTTTCTACAATGATTGACATCATTTAACCTAAGGGTCCCCCTAACCTTCTGCATGTGGCAGAATCCACTTAATGGTTACAGCACATAGTTGTAACTCTCACAGACCTTAATAACCTTGGGTATATTGTCATGACGGAAGTAAACTGTTAGTGGCAAATAAAAGTGTAATTCATTCACTTTTCATACAAAACCCTTCACATTCCTAAGCGTCAACACAACCGCCATCTTTCATAGCGTATTGTTCAATCCAATTTTCTAACTCATTGAGAACATTCTGCAGCTGCTGCTGAGTGATTTTCTAAATTGCATTCGTGCTCCCTGCCCTAAGTTTCCCTGAAACACGTGGTTCTGATTAGCAAACAACAATTTTAACAAGCTTGCTTCTATCGAGAGTATATCCAAAGTCATTAAACCCAAGAGGTGTGAGAGGACTTTATAAATGCCTGTGTTTGCAGAACTTAGGAGAGCTCTTGGGATAAACACACTGATATTTAGCAGTTAAAAAACCTCCTCCTGCCCGGCCAGCGTGGCTCAGTGGTTGATGTCAACCTATGAAGCAGGAATCCAGGGTTCGATTCCCAGACAGGGCACTTGCCTGGGTTGCCAGCTTAATCCCCAGGGTGGGGCATGCAGGAGGCAGCTGATCAATGATTCTCTCTCATCATTGATGTTTCTCTCTCTCCCGCTTCTTTCCTCTCTGAAATCAATTTACATAAAATAAAATTTGCCATTTTAACCATCGCCACCATCTATCTCGGGAACTTTTCACCACTCCAGTAAGTAAGCACATCTTAAAGACATACTCTGGTGTATAAATGTTAAAGGACCAGCCGGCTCAGCGGCCCATGCTTAGTGGATGACCTCAAATCCCAGTTCCTCGTGCCCAGGCCCAGAGCTGTCTCACACTGTCTCTCTCTCTCTCTCACACTGCTGACTCTGCTAGAATCCCTTTTCTTCACTAACTAGGGACTGCTTTGAACGAAATGTGTCATTTCCTCACCTCTACCCCCAAATTCTCGCACCGGTGCCTTAACCCCCTGTACCTAAGAATTTAAAGTGGTGACTAAGTTAAGATGAGGATGTGAGTGTGGGCCTGGGTCCAGTAGGGCTGGTGTCTTTAAAAGAGCAGGTGAGGACATGAGAAGAGTGACCTCGGGGGTGCAGGTGGACAGAGGAAAGAACACGAGGACAGAGCAGCAAAATGGCCATCCACAAGCCAAGGAGAGAGACTTCAGAAGAAACCAACCCTGCCAACACCTTGATCTTGGACCTCCAGCACTATGAGAAAATAGGTTTATGTTGTTTGGGACCCCAGCCTCTGATTCCTTCCTACGGCAGCCAAATGTGTGGGCCCTCTGAAAATTCATACATTGAAACCTAATCCCAACTCTGTTATGGTATTGGAGGTGGGGTCTTTGGGAGGTGATTAGGTCATGAGGGTGGAGCCCTCAAGAATGAAATCAGTGCCCTTAGAGAGGAGGGGAGAGAGAGCTGCCTTTCCCCTTCCACCATGCGAGGACACGGCAAGGTGAGGAACCAAGCAGTGGGCTGTCACCAGACAACAAATTTACCTTGATCTTAGACTTTGCAGCCCCCAGAATTTAGGCAAATAAGTTTCTATAACTTATAAGTCATCCAGTCAATGGCATTGTTATAGCAGCCCGAATACATACAGTCCTAACAGACTAAAACAGGACCTTATGGCGGGCATTTCCAAATAGCTTTCCCTCTGCTACACAGGCTGCACCTTCCAGTGAGGACATGCCTGCTGTTCCTTTCATAGGCCCTGCTTCTTCCAACCTCTACAACTCTGACTCTACTGTCCCTTTTAGCAAAGGAACTGAATTCTAGATTCAGTCTCCATACACCCTTCCCAGCCTGCAGGACCACAGGAACTTCCCACAAAGGGCCAGTGCATAGTGAGTTTTCCAATCTTAGCTACCCCTTTCAACTTCCTTATAGCATTTGTTATCCTTTATCAAAGACCTTAAGACCTGAGGGTGAGTTTTTCACCCATTTGTCTTGACAAACTGCAAGTAGAGACAAATTCCTTAGGGCAGTGGTCGGCAAACTCTTTAGTCAGCAGAGCCAAATACCAACAACAGTACAACAATTGAAATTTCTTTTGAGAGTCAAATTTTTTTAAACTTAAACTTCTTCTAACGCCACTTCTTCAAAATAGACTCGCCCAGGCCGTGGTATTTTGTGGAAGAGCCACACTTAAGGGGCCAAAAGCCACATGTGGCTCGCGAGCCACAGTTTGCCGACCACAGCCTTTGGGGCCAAAACAAAATCTAAACTTGTTCTCCTTTCTTCTGTCTATCTTGGACCCTTCCCCTCTCTAGCTTATGTACTCCTTTATAAACTAAAGATGTCTTGTGCATCTTTAAAAAGACTCTATCTCAGTACACACAGTGGGCTTCAATAAGTGCAACTGAAACGGCTCCTTGGCTTTAAGAAGGTGAACAGCAGCAAGGTAATTATGATGGAGATGTGGAGGCTACTTTAGTAAAAGCAAATTCACAAAAGGCCAGCCTAAAGTGCCCAGGGAACATCAGTCAGCACACACTGGGTTATGGTATACAAAAATAGAAAGTCAGGCCAAACCTGTTTGGCTCAATGGATAGAGCGTCAGTCTGCGGATTGAAAGGTCCCAGGTTCGATTCTGGTCAAGGGCATGTACATTGGTTGCGGGCACATACCCATTGTGGGGTGTGGAATAGGCAGCTGGTAGATGATTCTCTCTCATCAATGTTTCTAGCTCTCTATCCCTCTCCTTTCCCCTCTGTAAAAAAATCAATAATATATATAATATAATATATATATATATATATATATATATATATATATAATATAATTTTTTATTTTTTTTTTAAAGAGTGAGAGTCAGACTGCTCTAGCTCAGTGGCTCAGCAGCTAAGCAAAAGCCAAAGAAAACACTTTCCAGAAACACAAAGTGAGAGGCAGGAATGAAGCCAGATTCTAGATTCCTACTTTCAAATTCAATTTAACCCTACCTTTGTGGGTATTCCAACCTCCAGAATTCGCATAAGCCAACAAGGTCTTTCTGTGGAAGAGTGGTGTTGCTACTGAAAATGTCCCTTTTAACGTGCCAAAAACAATGATGGAGGAAAAGAACTGGCAACCTAGTACCAGGTCATTGAGTCCCACCTTAGATTTAAAATCTGTACATCATCTTTCTTATTCTGGGGTCCAGATCCATCATCGGTATCTTGGTTAAAAACCACAAGTGTGTATGGGGGCGTAGGGAAACTTGCCAAATTTGCCATTTATTTCTTGACTCCCTAAAGCAAGTACTCCACTCGCCTCCACACACTGTAAGCATCTTCGGTCTTTTCATATCTTGACCTCACGTGTTTGTGCAACTGTTCTCTAAAATGGACCTTCTTCGAAGAGAGGGGAGGGGAGGGGATGGGTAGGGACATCAAAGCAGAACGCACAGGATCTTCTGAGGCACGCGGTGCTTGGAAAGCAGAAATGGCATAAAACACGAGGAAACTCACTGCTGGAACAAGTGCCTGCCGACTTCCGCATCCACGGCGCTGAGGGGATCGTCCAGGAGGTAGATGTCTGCATCATGGTACACGGCTCTAGACAACGAAAGAGATATCAGACAGCGAGACACTTCACGTTCTCTGGATCTCATCTCTGAATCACAACAGTGCTCAACGATTCAGATGATGCTCATTCCAAAGCCAAGGAAATAGTCGGGGACAAGAGCCTCACTAAATGCTGACACGCAGTGAGGGGGTCTGCGAAGCAGCCTACCAGGCAGGTGCAGAATGCCACCAAAACGGGATTTACCTTGCAAGGCTAACCCGGGCCTTCTGCCCTCCGCTGAGCGTGGCTCCCCGATCTCCTATCAGAGTTAGGTCCCCGTCCTCCAAAATCTCAAAATCCTACATAGAAGGGGGGGTAGGGGGGGAGCGGGAGAAGAGAAAGAGAGAAAGACTTAAAATGTTTTCTCCCACTGTCATCCCAAACTTTCAGCATTAGTTCCTCATTCATAAATTTGAGCAATGGCAATGGATATATTTCAAAGGAACTAAAATTGTAACCTTCAACCTCTCAGGGCATTGTGTTTGCCTTCATCCTGTAGTTTTTCGGTGTTTATGCCTTTAACCATTTTAACAAATATTTGTTGAGCATCGATTATATGTCAGGCATTGTATGGGCACCATGCACTCAGCGCAGGGAAGAAAATAATCTCTCATTTCCAAAGTGAGAAACTGACATCAACAATGAACATGAGTGCAAGCACCGAGTACTAAGAAGAAAAAGGGTACTCTGCTGAGAAGGACAGAGAGTGAAGGAGGGAAAGTGATCTTAGATGAGGTCGGGAGGGCTCTGATCAGAAGGATAGGTAGATACCTATCAGAGGGCGGAACGAGCCTGAACAGATCTGGACAAAATGTATTCCATGTGGACAAATGAGCGAGTGCAGAGGCATGGAGCAGACACACAAGCAAGGTATTCAGAAGCTAGCAAAGAGGCCAGGAGCAGAATAAAGAGCTGGGGATGGGAGGGGGAGATATGAGGGGGCGCAGCATAGAGACATAAGCATGGGAGGGGTGGGAATGAAAGAACGGGCATGATTTGTCTTAAGTTTTTTGTTTTGTTTTTTAATATATTTTTTTAATTTAATTTTTTTTTTTTTTAAGGGAGATAAAGAGAAGCCTTTAGGTGAGGAGGCAGCCAATGAATGTTCCATTCTCACATTGATGTTTCTGCCTCCTGCCTGGGATCAAACCCACAACACAGACATGTGCCCTGACAGGGAATCAAACTGGCCACCACTTGGTGGTTGGGCTGATGCTCAACCAACTGGGCCACACTGGCCAAGGCTTTTATTAGTTTTGTTTGGTGTTTGATCACCCCTGCCTCTTTTTGGGAAACAGACTGCCAGTAAAGGGGCAGGGAAAAGTCATGAGACAGGTTGAAGCTATTGCAATAATCTAGGTGAGAGATGACAGTGGCAGGGACCAAAGTGGAAACAGTGAAAAGGAAGAGAAATTGCCATGTTCTGAACAAATTGCAAAGAAGAGCCTATAAGATATGCTGGTGGGATGGGTACAGGTTGCAAAATAAAGAATTGAAGGAAAGAGGAAGAGGAAGAACAGGAAGGCGGGTTCAGGGGATAAAGTCAAGATTTCAGTTATGGGAAAGCTGAGATACCCATTGGTGAAGACAGAGCTGGCGTCTGTGCTAGAGATCCCATGTGAGAGCCGGAGCACACACGTGGCTTGCAGAGGCACAGGACTTATTTATCAAGAAGCAAGTGTGTCTTAACTGGCCATCTTGCTGCTCTCGGTCTCAGCTTCCCACTTTCAGAGAAAGGATGACACCTGACCCGTGTCGTCACAGGGATATTTAAGGCACAGTGAGAGAGTGACAGACAAGATCTGTACAAGAAATAAAAGCAGAAAGAGCAGTCTAGGCAGAAAAAAAAAAACAAGTATGGTCCAGGAATAGTAAGCAGATCATTTGAACTAAGTAGATACTTGTTCCAAGCAAAACAGGAAAAATTCAAAGCTAAGAAAAACAAGAAGTTTTGATTTGAGAATCTGGGGAACTCTATCAAAAGTTGTATTTCAGTAGTATTTAGAAAACAGACAAATCATATTACCTAGGGCGAAAAAAAGATGAAAAGAACATCCTCAAAATGACAGGGTAATAATCAGATCTAAATTGCATATTATATTAGAAAATATTAATTAGATTACCCATAGTTATCACTAGACAGACCCTGGATTCAACAAGCCAAGGTTGGGGGGAGTTTATTAGCTCTCTACTCAACCTCTCAAGCACAGACCTAGGACACAGCAGTATCTTTCTGCAAATGCAGCCTTCGTCCCTTTGTCTCTACTTTAGACAATTTGGGGGAGTAAGCAAGTGGGCACACTGGGATCTTTTTCTCCCTAAGTCTCATGTCCTCTCCTACAAAATGTGCTACAGAAACCAGGATTGCTAAACTCAAGGATGCTGTGAGAATCGAGAGTAAGTGTATGAACAGCCTCTACAAATGGAAAAAAGATGCATGAATTCATTTTTGCTCTTGGTAACTGACACCTATCAAACCAACAGTGGGAACTCATTCACATTCCGATTCCGTGTGAATTGTAATATGCAAAGCACACATCACCAAGAGAAGAGAAAGATAGCGCCGGCATCATAACCCCTTCCCTGCCTGACAGCCACAGACACACCTGCATGCTCAGCGCTCACGTGGATTACATCAAAGGAAAGAGGCCAATGGCTCAATCATGAAAATTCATTATCACTTCATATTATTTCTTTGCTGAGGTAAGAGGTTAGTACCATCTCTTGCTTTGCTTTTCATAAAAAAAAATTTTTTAAATTAAAAAAAACAATGAGCCATTTGAAGACAGGGTCCCAGCCTTCTGGGAAAACACACATAACCACAGTGTACTTGGCCTGTTTCACTGCTGACAACCCTTGCAAAGTATTCTTAGTTTTCATGCCTTAATTTCACATTGTTCTGCTTTCCTGAAGACCACCAGGATATAGCGTGGCAATCGCAGCCTTTTTCTAGAAAGATCACTTAAAACCTACTCTTTGATTTACCACAGTTAGGACCTAAGAAATGGGCTCTCACCGAGCTTGGTAGAAGCACTTCAAGTGTGTTTGCTGTCTCTGCAAACTATTTTATAGACAAGCCTCAGATGGGAAAAACATTTCAAAGGATTTTAAGGAACACCCAAGTCAAACAAATTTCCTAGCCATGATGGTCTGACTTGGTTAGAGCAGCAGTTTTCAACTGGTGTGCCATAGAATTTTTAACACATTCAATACCTAACTGGTTAGTAAGAGGCACTGACCTCTTTTCCCTTAGCCCATCAAATAAAAAATTAAGAAAATGACAACAGCCATGAATCGAAATTACACCTTTTTTTGGTCAGATTGGAAAAAAAAAAAAAATAGTATGTTTTTTGTGTGCCACAGAATTGTATGTGTGCCGTGAGATTTAAAAAAAAAAAAAAAAAAAGGTTGAAAACTGTTAGATTAGAGGGAAAAGCTATAGTTGACCATATATGACAATTCCTCCCAATGACAGGAAAGTCTTCCTAGGTTAATTTAACAAATTATTTCATTTATAGTGATTTTCACACACAAACCAGAAAAAAATAAATTGAAAACAGCTACGGCGGTTTGATACTATAGGATCAGAAACACATCCAGTGCCTTTTAGTAACGGTAGAAACTTACAGGAGAAATATCACTGAGCAGCCTGCTGGGACGGTTATGAGGCCAGAGCTTGGAGAGCTGGCTCCAAGTCAAACAGCAGGCATTAATGGGTCCACTGAGCCTTTGTTCATAGCATCGCCTCCATTGGGAATTGCCCTCCCCATCTTTCCAGGCCCAGCTCAAACACTCTCTTCCCCGCGTTTTCTCATTGAGAAAGTCACCTCGCTATCTAGTGGGTTCCTAAGACTTTGTCTATATTTCTCACGAAGGACCCATCTTATTCTGCTTCATATTTTGTATGCATGTATAAGGCTTCTCTCCCCATTACTCAGCTCCTGGACAGTAAGGTCTAGGTGCCAGCACTGTTCTGGATGCTGTGTATTGACTATCTCTAATCCTCACAAGCTGCACACACAGAAGGGACAGGCAGGCATCCATATCTGTGGGTTTCACATCTGCAGACTGAACCAATCCTAGATGGAAAACAGAATTTTTCAAACGTGGCTAAGAATCCACGGATGCGGAGGGCCAACTGTACTCAGTGATCCACGCCTTTTTATACATGTGGGACTTGAGCATCGTGAGTTTTATATCAGCTGGGGCAGTGGTCGGCAAACTCATTAGTCAACAGAGCCAGATATCAACAGTACAACGATTGAAGTTTCTTTTGAGAGCCAAAATTTTTAAACTTAAACTTCTTCAAAATAGACTCACCCAGGACGTGGCATTTTGTGGAAGAGCCACACTCAAGAAGGCAAAGAGCCGCATGTGGCTCGCGAGCTGCAGTTTGCTGACCACGGAGCTGAGGGGATCTTGGAATCAATCCCCCGCCACTCCCCAATACTGAGGGGCAACTGTATTAAGCCCATTTCCTAGCCAAGGAAACTGAGACAAAGTGAGGTGCCTAATTGGTCTGAGCACTGTTAGCTGTTAAAGGGAAAAGCTGAAATCTGAACCAAGCTCATCTCAATTCATAGACTTTTGCTCTTTCTTTCCCAACATGCTGCCCCCAGTGGCTACAGAAAAATATATTTGAAATGAAGGCAACACTAAAATAGCTCAATAACTAAGTACAATAAACTTAGTTTCCATATTTACATTAGCCTCATGTATCCCTTTTGTACTTATGCTTTTTTAATAAAAACATTTTCAGTATTGATTACAGAGAGGAAAGGAAAGGGAGAGTTAAAAACATCAATGATGAGAAAGAACAACTGATCAGCTGCCTCCTGCACACCCCACACTGAGGAATGAGCCCACAACCTGGGCATGTGCCCTGACCATGAAGCGAACCTGGAACCTCCTAGTTCATAGGTCAATGCTCAACTTTTGCACATCACCTGACATTCAGAAGAATCACTGTGCAGCCCAACCCTGCAGAGGTCTCCTGCCCTCCGGAGTCTGTATGCCACACAGAGACCCTGAGAGTGTCTACCCCATTGCTGCTCCAGTCATCCCTTGTGGCTGTAACAAAGGCATGGGCCCCTAGAAAAAATGGTGAACGATAGCCACTGTCCCAACACCTGGTTTTCTCCAAAGATGCTCAAACGTTGGGGGGAAGCGTGCAGAAAGATGGCCTCACCTATGACCAGAAAGGCAGTGTCCTTCAAAGAAAGAGCGAGACACTGACCTACGAGTCTGGGCATCAGAAATTGAACTTGACAGAGGTAAAGAGAAAATGTCCGAGGTCTGTTTATTCCCCATCCCACATTCCACCTTCATCAACCACCCAATTCTTAAATAGTTCTTCTTCACATACTTTCCCAATGAAGAGGCAGCGAGGCATTGTGGGAAAGCACAGAACCCAGCCGTGCAGAAATGGACCTGAGCCTGCGCTGCAAATGGTTAGGTGAGTCTTCATCTCTCTAAGCTGCAGGTTTACCAACTATAAAATGAGGGCGAGAACATCAAAGACACAGGTAATTTATTAAATACCCTTAAGTACTACTCATACACCTGTGTGTACAGAAATGATGTGAGAGACAGAAATGATTAACATGTGGACTCAACAAATGGGAGCTATTGTTAATACTGCTTTACATTTGTTTTTCCTCTTTTCTTATACAGGCTATATACTGTTTAATGAAAGTCTAGCTCATGATGCTAACTTGGTGTCACTTCTAAGCACAACATAATCGCTCAGTAACAATAACCCAGAAAAGGGAAACAAAAGCCAAGGAGGCACACAATTATGTTTCAGCCAATTGTCATAAAATGTACTCACCTGATACAGTCTGTGAAGTTCAAGCCATTGTTCAAGCAAAATTACTATTTCCTCACGAAGCCCCTTGAGGGCCTTCAATGCTGGACCTTGGACCACCCATCCCTGCCTTTCCTCACAGCATAAAAGAACAGTCGGGTGTCCAGAGTGCACAGACCAGACCCTGGGAGAGTTCTTGAAAACTACCATTCACTCATTTTTATAGCCCAAAGCAAGTTATACGGTATTTATCAAAATCTTTGTTTTTTTGCTAAATTATATTTTCCTATCAGGTAAGTTCAGTTTTCATCATTTGACCACTAATTTTATTTAAATCTCAATGTACAATTATTATACATTTCATTCTGCCCATTGCTGTGAAGCTCAATGTCATTTCTGAAAACAATCTCTTCCTCAACCCACCCCCCAAGTGAAATAATGCAGTATTGAAAGGAAATTTTAAATCCTTCTGCTTTCTTTAATGAAGCAAAGAGGAAAACCTATAGAATGAATGGGACCTGGGAGATAAATCAACCAAATGCAGAGGGGCACAGAGGGACAACCCCATGTGCAGTCTGGGGCAGACCTTTTGTGGAGACTGGGGCAGACCAACATTTAATAAGATTTCTCACTGAGCCGAAACTGGTTTGGCTCAGTGGATAGAGCATTGGCATGTGAACTGAAAGGTCCCTGGTACGATTCCAGTCAAGAGCATGTATCTTGATTGTGGGCACATCCCCGGTAGGGTGTGCAAGAGGCAGCTGATCGATGATTCCCTCTCATCGATATTTCTAACTATCTCTCTCTCTTCCTCTCTGTAAAAAATCAATAAAATATATATTTTTTTTAAAAAGATTTCTCACCGAGACAAGGAAATGCAAATACTGAGTAGAACACTGATGATACTTAATGAATGTGAGTCACTTTTTTTGGTGTGATAACATGATGCAGTTTTTTCCAAGGCTCTCTTATATTTTAGAGATAACTAATGAAATGCAGGTTTCCCCAAACAATGAATATATGCACATTTTAACAGCTCATAGCTCAGTTTTAAAAATGAAATGTATTTTAATAAACATTGTCTTTATAATTATTCAATGTGTGTGTATGCATTTTTTGGGAGGGACACCCTATGTTTACAGCTGAACTAATATGCAGTAGGGTCTGCTGCAGATGGTTTGGGTTGGGGTGGGGTTAGCAGGAGAAATGAAACAAGACTGGTGGCCAGCTGACCATGACGGGAGCTAGGGAATGGGAACAGAGGGATTCTTACACTATTCCCTCCACTTTTGCGAAATTTTACACGTGTCCACTTAAAAATATTAAAAGTGAATAAAACTTCACAAAACCAAAGGAAAAAAGCAATCTGTGAATGTCATTATCAGACCAGGACTAAAACAGTAGCATATATGCATATGTCTTTACCCTGAAGACCAGCTAAAAGTATTAAGTAGCATTCAAATATCTTTCATATGAAAAAACAAAGTTTGTAGATTAAACCAACACTAGTATTATTATTTGGAATTCAACATAGATGCGGCTTAAAAGTCACAACTCACCTTTTTCAAAGCACAAGCCTTTACTACTTTTTCATATCGTTCCTTTTCATATTTCTTCCCAAATAAAATATTACTCCTCAGAGTTCCTGGAAACACCCAGGGCTGCTGAGCAACATAGGCGACCTTTCCATTCACAGTGACCAACCCCTGGCTCGGGGGCAGCTCCCGCAGCACAGCAGCTAACAGCGAGGACTGGAAGAGATCACAAACAAAGCGTTAAAGGTATATCCTATATAATAAAAGGCTAATATGCAAATTGTCCCCTCTACCACGAGTTCAACCATCAGGCAGGCTGGCCAACCGCCCATGTCCCCTCCCCCTGGCCAGGCTGGCCCGACCCCAACCATGCACGAATTCATGCACCGGGCCTCTAACACACACACACACACACACACACACACACACACACACACACACACTCTGAGTGGCCAGATTATTATGCGTTTAGAGATCATAATAATCTGGCCACTCAGTGTGCATCATAGGCCTGGTGTTCACTGCAGTTGTCCCAGCCACCAGGTAGCCTTCACTTCACAAAGACTAGTTCCTGCAAAGCTATGTGTACATAATACATGCAATGCATCAGAAAAGATTATTTGAAGAACTCTGAAGAGTCATGTTTCTGAAGGACAAAAACCCATCATAAGAGAAATAAACCCCCTGTCCTTTTTACAGCCTATGTTTAGACTTCCATATGCTGTTGTTTCAGAACACACAAGATTAAGTATACACGCACATTTCCTTCAACTGCTACAGTACACAGACGTGACTTCTGTAAGGTCTGCCCTGACAAAAAGAAGTCCCATTTTCTCAATCATTCCAGCCTGAACAGCTGTCACAGAAGTAAATTCCTTCAATGAGATGGCCAACTTCCAGACAGGCAGTTCCCACCTGTGCCACTTGAATGACCAAAGAGAAAAACATAATGTGCTGTGTCCAGATTTATTGGTCCATGAACATTCCAGGGAACACACTTTGAGAAAGGTCACTCGAGGTATACCCAACTCACACCTGTGTTACATGTGGCTTTGGGCTCCACCCGGAGATTTTAACATGGGATGTGACATTGCTTCAAGCTGCCCAAAGACCTTACAACTCACCTTTCCTGCTCCCACGGGTCCAACCACAGCTAACAGTTCACCGGGTCTGACAGTGAAGGAAAGGTCTTTTAGGGTCGGGGTTTCTGATACCTACAAGCGAAAGTTTACAACAACAAAAAAAAGTGTCCGTTTCAATAAAGTAAGACACATCAAATAGTTGAGAAACTAGTATCATAGTCATTGATACTATTGTGTGCAGATAACCCACATCTTTCTCCTTCTTATTGGCTTTCTCCTTCTTATTGACCTCTTCTTTTAACATAGTTCCTTAAGGACACTGCTCTAGACACACAAGGTCAGTAGAAAAGACAAAGCACCTTCTCCAAATGAAAACTCCTTGATGCGAACCATCTTATTAAAAGGAAACATACTTCAATACTCAGTGCACGTGGTTTTCATCATTTACAAGTTGTCACAACCCTGGGTTTTACGCTTATTTCATTCACCTCCACAAGGTGGCAGCATAAGCTCATGGCATGCCTGTACTTCACTAATAAAAACTTGAAATCGCCACTCATCTCTCCATCCTCATTTGATAAAGACCAAATCCATGCATTTCACGAATGAAATGCCAGTCAGGGAGACCTTCCCTCACCCACCTGTAGGGCTGTGTAGTGGAGCTGGGTAGAGTCTTTCTCCTACATGTGCTTCATTTTACCTCAGCTTCTCTCCAAACTCCCCGAAGTCTGAGCCCATCCCCTACCCCGGGGCGCTTTCATTTGTTACACTCCCTAACTGCCTCTAGCAGAAGGCATAATCCATTCACAGGCAATGCCAACACAATAGAACAGGGCAGTCTGTGTACTACTACAATGCAAGAGGCAAAAAAGTCTGAGAACATAACATGTTGAGGTTCTTGGAAGAATAGAGTAGCTCATTTCACAATGTAGCATAGTTTGGTACAAAAGAAATTTGGTCGTGGGTCATAGAAAAGGGGTGTTAGCTACCTCGATGCATTCAACAGAGTACATCTCTACAATGAGTGTTAATGGTGCTTTATAAATGCTTAACAATGTATTATGGGGAGGAATACACAGCAGAAGGTAAATCTACTGTATTAGGGCAGGGCAGGTTAGATGAGGCAGCTTATGTGAGCTTCCATGTGCAAAGTACAATGATGTGGTTTTATGTATTAGGGATTTATTTTGCCGGAAATGGCAGGCACTAAATTAAAAGCAGGTGACCCCGAGGCGAGTGGCACAGGAATAAAAACACAGTCCACGGAGTCTGGACCCCTGACCACTGGAGAAGAGAGAGCCAGCATTGCGATGGAAAGGAGTGCTGGCCGCTCAGGCACCTATTTGCTCCGAGCTCCATTTCTAGGATCGGGCTGCCAACTTCCTGAGAACTGCAATTAACTCCAGCTCAGCCCTTGGAGAGCACAGTCCGAGGCCAGGAGGCAGGAGCGAGAGAAGCTGGTCCGCCCACCTGCTTCCAGCACCCTTACCACGACAGTCACCTCATCTCCACAGGGCCAGCACCAGTACCACAGCCCTTCCCGTTATAGTCCCTCCGTCTGTGGGTCCTGCTCAAAACTGATGACCCTCTGCTCCATGTCACCTCCTCCCGGAGTTCCGATAGCCCTAGTGGTGGAATTTGGTACCGCTTCTTGCCACTGCTCATCTCTGGGCCACCTATGTAACTAGTTACATGCCTGAAATTCTCTCTTCCGGTGGTGTGGGTTCTGTTTTCCTGACTAATCCAGAAGGATGTGCACAGGGGACCACGGAACCAGGGAGAAAAGCGTTTCAGTTTTTTGAAACTGAGTGTGCAAGTTGGAGAACTTCTTGAGTGTGGTCCCTGATTTGTTTTTCTTTTCCCATTTGCCTAGATGTCATATATAAACCAAGTACTGGGGAAATCCTGGTGATCCTGCCAGCTCAACCTGTCAGCTTGCATCCGTTGAAGCCGTTAGACTGGGACTCACTGAGCTTACTGTACCCGCCTGCTGCCTCCGCCCTACTCTCACTGCCACCAAAGTAGCTGGCACCATCGAGAAGCTTAGACTAGGGGAGCAAAGATCCAAATCATGGCTTCATCCAACATGTCATAACATGGTCTGCTAACAATTAAGATAAAAAATGGACCCTCTAATCCTGTAAATTACAATGTACATATTTTTAAGTTCAAAATACCTTGAAAGTTCTCCTAAAAAGAAGACAAAGAACAACGTTTCAAATGCCTTAGGGCTGATTTTATACTTCATCTCCATTCAATGCAAACCTGGTTCCTGATTTTAAGAGTTTTTATAACACACTTTCAGTAAATGAGCAATTTACATCTGATACAATCTGCATAATCCCAACATCCTCTACTACATCTAAGTCAACAGTTGTCTTTTAGCAGCCATGACCTCATAATAAAGGATTTCTTACCTTATCCCAAAAAGCAGTAAAATCTTGCACATGCACTATCGTTTCACTGTCTGATGGTAGCTGATAGTCGCATTGTGTTACTTCATCAAGCAACAGAAAGTTCTACAGAAAAGGGAAAAATACAGATCGTTAAAACTGCATAAACAAAAGCACAAACAAAAATAACTGCTTTCCTGGAATTTGAACTACCAAAACTTTACACGGGGTACATGTCATTTTATCATACGCACTACACAGGGTACATGTCACTTTACCAAATGCACTTAAGTGTTAGTTCACATCAGAACATATCCTATAACGTATTGAATTGAACCTGGAACAACTGAGGTTTGAAATGTGAGGGCCCATGGATTTTCCCAGTAAGTATGTACTGTAAAGGTAGTATTTATTTTTCTCATCGTTTTCGTTAAGTCTGCCAATCAATAGTAGGCTATTTGCAGTTAAGTTTAAGGGAGTCAAAAGTTACACACAAGTTTTTGACTGTGCAAGGGGATTGGCGCCTTGAACCTCCATGCTGTGCAAGGGCCAATTATATATTTTGACAAAAAATTCATATATCTATATTTTTAGCACAAATAATTATATAACATACTGTAAAATGTATTTGTAGTATAGTATTAAATATAATAGTATTACATATTGTTATTGTTACATATAATGTAATATAAATTATTACAGGCCCATTGCATGATATTCGAGCAACAATAAGCCTTCCTTCCTCTAGCTTTGTTCCCAGTCACCAGGAAAGCCAGCGAGTCCCCACTCCAGGGCTGATCAGGAGCCACCAAGTCCCAGGAGCCACCAAGTCCCAGGAGCCACCAAGTCCCAGGAGCCAATAGCTCTGCAGCCCATTCCTAGCAGGGGTCCCACCCCACCCAGCCACTCTGCACATGCATATGCAAATTAAACCTTCATCTTTGTTGGGTTAATTTGCATACTCACTCCTGATTGACTGTGGGCGTAGTGGAGGTACAGTCAATTCACATGTTTGTCTATTATTAGGTAAGATTATTAGGTAAGATGTATCAGCAATATACTGTATATTAGAATTCATGGCCTCCAGGTTATCTTGGTAACTTTCTCAACAAGTGTACTAATAACCCTGAAGAGATAATATTGTTGTTACAAACCTGAACACATTTATAACCTGGGCATTTTTATTGCTTTACTTTTGCATTACTAACAATAAACACAAGAGTTGATAGGAAATTATTCCATAAATATTTACTGAAGCACACCCTGTGCCAAGCACTACTCAATGTGCCAGGAACACAGAGACAAAAGCCATTCCAGGCCTGCAGGGGATCAGGCTGTCGCCGGAGCACAGGCGGGGAGCACATTATCAATGGCTGAGACCATGAATGAAAGCCCCGATTCTGCTGCTTAGCTGTTGCGACCTTGAGCTGGGCAAACACTCAAGTGCACACTGCTTGTTCTTTCTATGTATCAAATCAATATATCACCACTTGTCATTAACAATTACTGTTTTAAAAGTAAAACACACTAAGTGTCTATCTCTTAAAAAATATTTCATGAGCCGAAACCTGTTTGGCTCAGTGCATAGAGCGTCAGTCTATGAACTGAAAGGTCCCTGGTTTGATTCTGGTCATGGGCATGTGCATTGGTTGCAGGCACATCCCCAGTGGGGGAGGGTGCAGGAGGCAGCTGATCGGTGTTTCTCTCTCATCAATGTTTCTAACTCTCTATCCCTTTCCCTTCCTCTCTGTAAAAAAAAATCAATAAAATCTATTTTTAATATATATATATTTCATGAGCACCTTTTCACAATCACTCATGACTTTTCTCCTTAGTTAGTGCCCTCTCCTCAGCAGCAGAAATGCCATGTCTTCCACCTCTTGCTACTTTCCCGGGTAGTTAGGGGCTATTGAATAAAACGGTGCCTGTAACCACTGCAAATCTAACATAATGACCCAGAGGAACACTTCCTCTTGTTCTGCAAATCTACACTAATAAAAGAGAAATATGCAAATTGACCATAACTTCATAGTGCCCACCAGCCAATCAGGAGTGAGTATGCAAATTAACCTCACTGCCTCCCTGGAGACTGACAGCAGGGAGGAGGCAGCTCTCAGCAAGGCCTGCTTGGCTGTTGACATGGTGTGGGACAGGCAGGCCTTGCAGAGACAATGGGGAGTGGGCCTAACCCATCAGTAGGACATTCCCTGAGGGCTCCTGAATTAGAGAAAGCACAGGTCAGGTTGAGGGACACCCCCACACCCCGTGCATGAATTTCATTCACCAGGCCTCCAGAGCTAGACATAATGAGAAAAGCTACACTGGTGCAGAAGCTGAATAAACTGAGACCACCACCACCCAGCCCCAAAATATTTCAGAACCTATGGCAGACTGCTGGCTGTCCTCAAAACCCGCTCTCAGGCTTCTGTGGTACCAAAACCCTGATTTCCAGCTGCCTGCAGTAGTCTAGAGAAGGATGTCTCTCCCAGCCTCCCGTGCAGATAGAAGCCCTGTGACTAACCGCAGACCAGTGGAATGAACACATACAGCAACCTTTCTCGGCCCCACAGCCTGGGAATTGGAGGCAGTGGCCAGCTTGCTCAAGGCCCAACGCAGGGGAGTAACAAGAAAGAGTCTGAGTCTCTGGCATCATAAAGGATCCTACCAGCCAGGGACTTGTCATGGAGTGAATTCTGTCCTCCCCAAAAGTTATGTTGAAGTTAGAGGGTGATTACATAAGTAATTCATTCAGGGGTGGTCATGCTGGAGTATGGTGGCACCCCCAAACCCGGTATGACTAGGATCCTTATAAAAAGGGAAGAGAAATGCAGAGACAAACACACAGGCCGAGAACAGCCACGTGAGAGAGACCGGCATGTTACAAGCCAGAGAGCACCAAGGGTTTGCCAGCAACCACCAGAAGCAGAGAAAGGCAAGGAAGGATTCCCTCCTACACTTCAGAGCGGGGTTGAGGAACATCTGGCCCGAGGGCCATATAAGGCCCACGAAACCATTTGGTCTGGCCATGCCAAGGTATGAGGGGTGAGTTAATTAAATGTCTGAGCAAATATAGCAGGCCAATTTTTAAGTTGATAATTTTATATGGCCTGCGAATGATGCTACACATATCTAAATCGCCCTTGGCAGGAAAAAATATTCCCACACATGCTTTAGAGGGATGGTGACCCTGCTGACACCTTGATTTCGAGCCTCCAGAACTCTAAAACAATGAATTTTTGGTGCTTAAGCCACCCAAGGTTGTGGCACTTTGCTCCTTCAGCCCTAGGAAACAAATACAGAACCTTACAAGGATGTTTGCCTGAGCGGAACGGAAAGTCCCCTGTGTAAGCAGCTTTAAGATGAATGTTCTAGAACCCATAGGCATACCTAATCCCAACCAGTATAGAAGGCATCTGAAATTAGCATGTGAAAAACAAAACAGCACATAAAGAAGTCACCTTCTAAAAAACTGTAAACACCCTTAATATTCTCGTCTGTGATTCCGAAAAACTACCACTGCGATGCCCTACTTCAAAAGAACAGCTAGGAAACAATGGAAAGGGTCTCTATAGGAAAAGGAAAATGCGTCCCTCTGCATTCCTCTCGAAGGCCCAGCAAGCATGAGGCACCATCTGCTCATTCAGTCCTTCACTCACTCTCTCACCCAGACCAAGAACCTACTCAAACCTGGCTATTCCTACCCTCCCAATCCCATGTCTAGGCAGCGAGGCCAGATGGACACTGTGGTCTGAGGACACCTCTGCAGGCTTTAGACCCACCGCTTGACTTCTCTCTGCACACCTCTCCTTCCCTAGTCAACCAACTACCAACTCTTATCTATTCTGCCACAATCCACCCCTCTCTCTCCAACCCTCTATTCCTCTAGAGACAGCATTAATGCCAGGATCTCACTCACTACCAATCGTTGAAAATACTGGCGTAACTTATTTTGCCATCTCCCTACACCTGCTGATTCCTTCCCCAGCACTCTCCAACACTACTCCCTATTGACCTTAAGACTCCTCTGAGAAAGTTCAACATGCTTAAAACCTTGTAGGGACCCATTCCCACCTAAGTCCATGCTCCCAAAGTGGCCTCAGCCTTGATCCTACCCACCCTTCTGAGTCCATCTCAAATACTAACCCTCCTAGAAAGCAAATCAGAATGCACCCTTCCCCCCACCCCACCCCCACCGGCACTGCCCTCCCTACCCTGGAATCCTCAAAGGGACTTTAAGTCTGGAAGAGGGTAGAGACCATAATATCACACACTTGACAACCACAGTCTCAATTCCACTTAATTCGGAGCCTCACACAGAGTCAGCATATCACGGTATCTACTGGAGGGATGAACAGACTATATAGTTAGTTCAAGTGAGTCAATCCATTGAGTACATGGCTACAGCCTTAACATAGTTAACATGCAACAAGCAAAGGTAACGTGTTATAAATCTCATCTATACGGAATAAAATTCTGAGTTTAGCTTAAATATATGACCACCACAAAAAAGTCAACTGTCAGTGTGTGCACTAGGATAGAAATTTCCTACTTGAAAAAGAAAACGATAAGGAAAACCATGTACGAAGTGAGGACGTAAATCTATTGAGCACTTTCTTTTCTTTTTTTTTTTTTTAATATATTTTATTGATTTTGTACAGAGAGAAAGGGAGAGAGATAGAAAGCCAGAAACATCGATGAGAGAGAGTCATTGATCAGCTGCCTCTTGCACACCCCCTACTGGGGATATGCCCGCAACTAAGGTACATGCCCTTGACCGGAATCGAACCCGGGTCCCTTCAGTCCCCAAGCCAACGCTCTATCCATTGAGCCAAACCGGTCTCGGCTATTGAGCACTTTCCATAAAGAGGTCTGAGTGGAGAAAGAAGTCACAATCTTCCAGCTTGTAAAGGAGCCAGCAGTGCTGGGCGCATTCTCCTCTAGCACTCGCGCTGATGAAAACGTTGAAATAATTAAACTGCCCAATGAGCCACGAAGTGCACACCCAGAACAGGTCACGTGGCAAAGTATCAGATGCTGGAAATGGAGCCAAAAAGATTGACTTCAGAGTGGTTGGTAGGCAAAAATTTAGCTGCTTTGGTAACAATATCACCTCAGAGACAAATTTTACTGCTTGCAGAAGCTGCTGAAGATGTTCAGAGCATTGAGGTTAAGACAAGATCTTTTATAATCCTACTAGAGGCCCGATGCATGAAATTCCTGCAAGAATAAGCCTTCCTTCCCCCGGCTGCAGGCACCAACTTCCCTCTGGTACCCGGGGCCAGGGCTTCCCTCACAGCCCCAGCTTCATCCAGAAGATCGTCTGGCTGGCCAGCCAAATGAGCATATTACGCTTTTATTATTATAGATTATCATAATAGATTGGATTCATTCCATGCCAGTTTAAAACTTTGATTCCACAGAAACAGGAAACCTTTGGAGATCCCCAGAGGAAGACTAAGTGGTTATAACAACATTTAAGGAAACAATCCACATGCCAGAAGATGCGAAGAAGGCAATGATACAAGGCTTAAGAAAACAGGGTTCTTCCAAAACCGGTTTGGCTCAGTGGTAGACTGTCAGTCTGTGGACTGAAAGGTCCCAGGTTCGATTCTGGTCAAGGGCATGTACATTGGTTGTGGGCACATCCCCGGTAAGGGATGCGGCAAGAGGCAGCTGGTCGATGTTTCTCTCTCATCGACGTTTCTAGCTCTCTATCTCTCTCTCCTCCTCTATGTAAAAAATCAATAAAATATATTTTTTTTAAAAAAGAAAGAAAAGAAAACAGGGTTCTGGGGAGAATTCTAGTTCTTCTCCTTACAAGCTATGTGGAGATGGCACACTATTTCACCCATAAGGTGGGTACCCTACTGCTCATCTCCTACAGCACTGCTGGGATTAAATGAGATGGTGTGAAGGGCTTCAGGAGTGTCTGGGCCACAGGCAGCACATGCAGCAGCAGCATGAACACATATGTAAGCAAAGCCCCCACCTGGGGAAGTTACAGTGCACATTCAAGAAGAAAGCTATGTAAAAGAATCTGTACTGAACCGCACGAGCCATCCCTTTAACAAAGCTGATAGAAAACCCTGTCAGGGAAGGCAAAAAGAAACACGGGGGACCAGAACTGACCCCGGATGACTCATCTGTTTTATGAGTAATGCTGTTTTGTGTTTTGTTTTCTTAAACAGTATAGAAATTTAATCATAAAACATCTCAGCTTTTATGGCAAGAACTTCCCCCTACCAGATAGCCCAATACTATCTGACTTGACTAAAAATCTATTCGTGGGCATTCACTGCAGTGAAAACACAGGAACAAAACCAAGTAGATTTTTGGCCAAGCCCAGACACTCAAGTTCCTGCCCTGACACAGAGCCAATGCATCTTCATTTTTAGACGTTTTCATACATACAGGTCCTTTGTGACCGACTGTGTCCTGGCCCTTAACCTGGTGAGGTACATTAGCTGCCCCCAGCAATGTAGGGACAACCAGTTAGGAAAGGCTATAGTGGGGATAAAACCAAATTTGAAAGGCAGAGGCTGGGGCAGGAAGAAAAAGCGGAAAAGGGACCACAAAGCGAGGTCCAAAAGGCAGATCTAGAAATCACAGGCAAAGCGAGGAGGAAAGGATCGATTTTTAAACAGAGAGAACTAAGTGAGGTGGAAGCCGTTCTTCCGGTCCAAGGAGCAGAGACCTTCCAGCAACTCTCTCCTTCCCAGCCCAGAGATGAACCCACGTACCCCAGGGCTGTGTGCAGTCCCTGCCTCGCCATTCCGGTTAGCATGGGAGACAAACTCCGTTTCCCTCTCTCGTAGTTATGACATTACCCTGTGCTGCGACATTCACGCTGCCCATAAATCATCGGCGACGCTTACGTTACTTGAGATGCGCTCTACCTAAGGACACGGGGAGGAGTCTGTATGACATTTTGGAGTGACTGCAGATTTGGCACTAAGTACCAGGAGGCGTGATTTTACTTAAAACCTGCCAACAGCTTTAAAAAAAAAGTTCCTGGTCAACAAACCTGGACCCTTCTGATGGTGACCAAGGCCTCTGACACCTTCTCGATGGCCGAGGGGAAGAAGAGAGTGACGGTCAGCCGCACGGCCCCATAGAGCGTCACGGCCACGAACACGCGGCTGGCCGTGATCTTGTTGCCAAGGAGCACGTAGGCCGTGAAGGTCACAAAAACGATGATTTTGCTTGCCACGAAGAATGATGCCAGATTCATTCCCCTCAGGTAGGAGCTTCTCAAAATCTTGGAAATCTCCTTCCTAGGAAAGAGTAGGGCATGTTTTAAGGGGAAGAATCAACAGCCAACTCAGGAAACGAATTCAAGTCCCTTCCTCTTTCTAAGGAGTGGACCCACTTGACAATAACCATTCAACAGTCCCAACCCCGGGGCCAGCTCCCACACGAGAACAGCATGCTCCATACACACTTGCTCACCCACCCACAGGCAGGACCAATGTGCACTTGAACATTCTGGGTCAGTCAGACCGGGTTTGAACATTCATTCCTGAGCAGAGGTCGTGCTCCAGGCACCTCGCTGATGGCCCACAGATGCAGCCTGTCCCTTCCAAGAGCAAAATAACTCGATGGAAGAGAGAATAAACAACTGAAAACTTGTGAGACATCAAGATATTAGGCAGAAGTGGCCAGCACAGAACAGGAGTGAGGGTGGGGGTGGGTGGAGTGGGGGGCAGGGGAGCAAAGAGAAGAGGCATCTTACTGAGTCCCATGGACCCATGAACCAGTGGAGTCAGGGTGAGGCACACGCACAGAACCTGAGGAGCAGAGCCTGAGTCGGTCGGGGGTCAGAGAAGAATCACAATGGGAGTGCTCTGGACTTTTGAGAAATATGAAAAGTATGGTGGATATATACAAAAACTTACCTCCTTAAATCGGTAATAAGGTCTGCAAATGGCTTTTCCCAAGCATACATTTTTATTATCCGGATGCCAGTTATCACTTCATTCATGGTTCTGATTCTGACGTCTGTGAACGTTGCGGTCTTACTCCTAAGGGGACAGAAGTGAGAGATGAGTCATGGTGACCACTGCCAACTTCCCTCATCAGCAGAGGACACAGGCAGAGACCAGAGATCCAATAATTCCCTTCAGCTCTTTTGCACTGAGAACGGGGGCAGGTCCTACTCAAAACACAAATGGGGAAAGTCTTCAACTGGGAAGTCAGCAATTCATTCCAGTTCAAGAAGCAATTTGGAGAGCTTGCAATACCTGCCGAGGAAGATATGAGAAACGAGTCAGAGACAACCTGTCTGCTCAGGGAGGTCATGGTTGGGTAGGGAAGAAAGAAAAGCACCCAATTCGCCCAGCAGGAGTGAGTCAGTGGTTGATATCAACCCATGAGCCAGGAAGTCACAGTTCAATTCCTGCTCCAGGCACATGCTAGGGTTGTGGGCTCGATTCTCAGTAGGGGGGATGCAAGAAGGCAGCTGGTCAATGGTTCTCTCTCATCATTAATGTTTCTCACTCTCCCACATCCTTCCTTTCTAAAGTCAATAAAAACATGTTTAAAAAAAGAAAAAAGCACACCTGATTCTAACAAGAACAACAATTGACTATACTGTAATAAATTAGGAATGAAGTGCTGGGGAGCAGAAAAAGAAAGCGCTTGTTAATGTACTGGGATAGGAAAAAGCAAAAAAGTTTCAGAATTCTGGTAGCTTTACAACAGTCCTCGAAGGAACAGGAACATTTCTTCATGGCAAAGAAGGGAAAGAAAATTCCAAGAAGAGAAAAGTACCAGGTTTCCAGGCACAAAGAAAAGAACTCAATGTGTTTCAAACAATTTATCTTCATCCCCCTGACAACCTTGGCAACGACCCATATTTCCAACCCTTTGCAATCTGCTTCAGGGCTAACTCACCACCATTAGGTTCTTCATCACTGGACACTTTTCAATCACGCCCACTGTTAGGGCTGTAGGACGTTATGAAGACATAATTAAGATCCAGCTCCCTGGGGAGCTTATAACTAATGGAAACAGTGAATTGTAAAAAAAAAAAAAAAAAAAAAAAAAAAAAATGACGCACACTGCAAATGGCTCTAACACAAGCATGATGAAAGTATATGCAGCTAGAACTGGGCCCATAAGATATCTAAATGTATTACTAGTTGATAATTTTTAAATAACATTGATGCATGTCAATTCTGCTAAAGTACACTCTACTTATTGAGAATTGGTCCCCAAAAATGCTCACCAAGAGGGACCAGCAAATGCTTTCCCCATGCCTGCTACAAGATTAGCATTCTGATTAAGGCTAGAGCCCCACTCTCTAAGGCTACCATGCAAAGAGATCATCTTGTTCTGTGTTTAAACAAAAGCATTGGGCACACTGTGCATGTTCCCAAATCCACGTTACTTTGTTACAAGAGTACCTATCCCCGTCTCTTACCGAAAGGACGAGAACAACTTTCCCACGCAGCTTTGCAAAGGCAGGAGGATGATTAGCACGGCCATCCCGGCGAGACACGATATTCCTATCTCCCTCCAGAGCAGGACAGTCACAGCGACGGCCTGCAGTGGGCCAGCCCACAGGAAGTGCAAGAACACCGTGACCTTGGAAAAAAGACAAAGCCTTTGTGGGACTATTTAAAAACCAAGCCAGCGAAAGATACAGAATAGGAACAATCTGCTCTGAACGAACAGAACAGACGAGAACCTACACAGAAGTGATCACACTGGGCTTTCAACCGGCTACGGCACCAAGAACCTACCGTTCTGGAACAACACGGGCACGCCCAGGGACAACCTGAGCAGCAGCATTGGCAGGAAGCTCTCGGCTTTGTCTTCCCCACAGAGGAGCTCAGGGCTTCCCCAAACTCTGCCATACAATTCAGCCCACCTCCTCTAGGCTCTCCATCACCCAGAAAGAGCCCATAGCAGCGTCCCTACCACATGCTGCAGTAATTCTTTGTGTACTTATCTACCTGGTAGACTATGGCTTCTCTGTCATCCCTAAAACTGAGCAGGAACCCTAGTTCGTTTTTTTATAAATGGTTAGAAAAGAAGTGATCCTCCTAGCTCAGTGGATAGAGCATTGGCCTGCAGACTGAAGGGTCACAGGTTGAATTCTGGTTAAGGCCACATCCTGGATTGTGGGCTCGATCCCCAGTAGGGGGCGTGCAGGAGGCAGCCAATCAGTGATTCTCTTACATCATTGATGTTTCTATCTCTCTCTCTCTCCCTCTTCCTTCCCCTCTGAAATCAATAAAAATATATATTTTTTTTTTTTAAAAAGAGAAGTGATCTAGTAAAATACAGATCTGACCAGCAGCTATGATGTCCTGGATAAGAGGATACATTCACCAGGTAAGTGGAAAACGAGAGTGTAGAGGGTTAAAGGAGAGTAGGCTGCTTCTGGCTAGGGACCACCATTTGCCATTATTTATTAAAGGCTTCGTACACAGCAGGCATGTGGGCACAGGGCAATATTCAGGACACAGAGGTAAAAACAATCCCTACCTACCAGGAGTCCATCAGCAGCGGTCACCAACCTTTCGGATCTCAGGGACCACCAGTTGGCAACCGCTGGTCTAGAGGAGGAAAAGGACTCAGCCAATAACACCAGCACAATGTGCTAAGAAACCCAGTAAGACTATTGGATACATTTAAGCAAGCTGGGCAAGAACTCTGCTGTCTGCCTGTTTACAATTGAATTATGGGGTGGGCAACAATAGAAAAACAAACTCTTCATCTACAGGACAGCATATATTTCATCTAAGATACACACACACACACACACACACACACACACAAAAGAAAAAAAAAAGAAAGTTAAATTATTTGTTAAAAGCCTCATGTCCAGCCTGGACCGATTTGGCTCAATGGATAGAGCGTCAGCTTGGGGACTGAAGGGTCCCGGGTTCAATTCTGGTCAAGGGCATGTACCTTGGTTGTGGGCATATCCCCAGTAGGGGGTGTGCAAGAGGCAGCTGATCGATGACTCTCTCTCATCGATGTTTCTGGCTTTCTATCTCTCTCCCTTTCTCTCTGTACAAAATCAATAAAATATATTTTTTTAAAAAGCCTCATGTCCAAAACAGAATCCTGGCCCGAGGTGAACGAGATAGGAAGGGTGGGAAAGGAAACAGGACCACTCAGGTGCAGCTTACCTGATCAAACTTGTTCACGTCATTAGACAGCAGATTGACGATCTGGCCAACGGTGGTCTTGGCCATGGCCGTGTGGTTAAGACGAAGTGCCTGAAAATAGCAGAGGGAAAGAGAATTATATTCCCACAGTGATACCAAGACACACTTAGAAAGCAGCAAAACGGAAAGCATTTTCGTTGAGTCTTGTTTGGTGTGTGAAGATAAGCAGGATGACCCATTACAGCAGGGCTGTAGGGACCGGGGTTTAGCCTTCTACTCCTCAATGCTGTGGCAGCCACAGCCCACAAGGAGTAGGAGGTAGGGGAAATTCCCTACTCTGAGTAAGGTATTAAGGATGTCTACATAGTTTTAGCTTTAATAACGTTCATTGCACTGCTGTTTGTTAATATGTAAAACCTGGGAAATAATCTAAATAATGAAATTAATAAAAATGTGAAAGCAATCTAAATATCTAATTATTGGCTATCCTAGTATTTCAGGGACCATTTTGAACAAAACTATGAACTATGAAATGCAAACTCCATTAGAGCAGGGTTCCATTGGTTGGTTCCTCCTGTGAGTGGGAATGAAAATAGATCTGGAGGTTAGGAAACTGTATAATCTAAGTCAGGTGTTCATTTTGTACAATTTTTTAAAAATAAGCGCAAGCAATAATTGTGGCTCATATAAATAAATAAATAAACTGTTTCTCCTTTCTCAATTACTTAATCAGTACAAGTGAAATACAAAACCCAATGTGAACACATAAATTAACACCACCAAAGGAATGTGAAAAAAGAATGCCCTCTCCATAGAAGGCAGTTTTCCAGACTGTGAGGTATATTGCCCCTTTAAGAATCCAATCTTCATTCAATAAAAATCCTCCCAAACCCTTCTCTAATGGTCGTTTAAAACAAAAGACACAAACTGTGGTTCATCGTTTTCATGATGCAGGTTCCTCATCACCTATGTGACTGACCCCATGTCAAGGACCCTTCGTGTGTGTAGACGCTGCTCCACAGGGTGCCCCAAAGGCATGCTTTTGGATATTGCACATGTTAAAATCCATCGTATCCCTTGCAGTCAGGCTACTCCTTCGAAGGGCTATCTCACCATGACCCTCCACTATCCTTTCTTCATACCATCTCACCATTGTTACATACCACTGCTTCTGACCCAGGATATGCTTGGTGATATTCTGAGGAAAGCCAGAATAACTAGGCTGTGAGTAAGAACTTGAAGGACTTTCGGAACAAAATGAAAGCATTTGTGTCACCTTTTTGCACATTTGGCTTACTTCCTGATTCCTGGCCCTACCCGGCCCTACCCAGATCTGTCTGTCAAATAATGTGGTTTCAGGTACACTGGGCAATACTATAACAAGCAACCATGATGAGTATGTTTACTCACTTGAAGCAGAAAATCGCCTGTATTTTTCCAATATCATTGCCCAGAATTGTCTGGTAAGGCTGCCGCACCTACTTTCATGACCGTGTCATCGAAACCCATTAATCTGCTTTTGAGGGGAGGGCCCAAAGACTGCCTAATATCCTCTGTCCCTAAGAGCATAATGGTGACAACTCCATAACGTTAATCAGTCCCCCTCTACAGTTCTACAGAAAAGAGACTCAAGGAAATGAAGACAGAGTCCATACAAAAATCAACCCCCTGCTGCTCTCTATGACCTGACAGCTCCATTGCCCTTTTTAACTTTTTTGCCTGACTTTCCACTGTACAGAAAGCTCTCTGCAAGCTTTGACAGGCTTGGCATTTACCTCCTGGGGGTGCCATTTTCTTTCTTTTTTAACTCCACTGGCCACCTTTTTAGCCTTATATCATTCTGACTTACTGAGGTCAAGAGGCCAGAAAGATGTGCACAGAATTGATTAGTGAGCATCCAAGCCTGAAAGGATAATGTAGACCCCAAGAACCACTGGGGTAGGGGGTTTGGGGAACTATGATACTTGCTTTGTTTTGTTTTTTTGTGAGCATCCAAGCCTGAAAGGATAATGCAGACCCCAAGAACCACTGGGGTAGGGGGTTTGGGGGAACTATGATACTTGCTTTGTTTTGTTTTTTTGTTTTGTTTTGTTTTTTTCACTCCGGACTCAGACTCTGGTGCCATGCATTTATTCCGGCGCGGAGAGCCACGCCCTGTGATACTTGCTTTGAAGTCAGATTCTGGACTTGAATTCTCCAGGGAAGGGGCTTCTCTACCTTCTCTGACATCATCACACCCCAAAGCTATGAGTCCCTGAGGCTGGCTCCCCCATGCCCTGCAAACCACCCACAGCCTCTGAAGGATGAAGCAGAGCCTGACCAGAGCCCCATTCTAGAGACTGCTACACAGAGTGCCCAGCAGTTTGCTGGTGACCATGCTACATGCCAAACACCACTCTCCACTGTAGGGGGCCTCACGTGCCACAGATCCTTGGGAACATTTCAAAAAATCTAATGAATGAACTGAAAATAGGTGCCTTGATGAGATAGTCAATATATACTGAGTGGCCAGATTATTATGATCTCTGAACACATAATAATCTGGCCATTCAGTGTATATCTTATAAATAAAAGGCTAATAAGCAAATTGTCCCCTCGACCAGCAGGCAGGCCAGCCAACTGCCCATGTCCCCTCCCACTGACCAGGCTGGCCGGTCCCCATCCATGCACGAATTCATGCACTGGGCCTCATATATATATATATATATATATATATATATATATAGAGAGAGAGAGAGAGAGAGAGAGAGAGAGAGAGAGAGAATCATAGGTTATTATGCGTTCAGAGAGCATAATAATCTGGCCACTCAGTGTATGTTGTTTCAGAAAAATGACTACTGTTTAATGAATATAGTCTACCAATACCTATGCAAAGAATAAATCCCAGGAAAAGGAATACAGATACTCAGGCTACCCTTGCACGTGTCTGTTGCCCCCTTCCTGATTCTGAAGTATGCTTCCTCAGATGTCCTGACCATAAGAATCCCAGCACATAGATAAAACTTCCAGGCCTCTTCCTTAGAAATTCTGAGGAGCAGGTCTGGGATTTAGACCCAGACTCTGGGTTGTATTTTTGTTATTGTTAACCCTTACCTGAGGATATTTTTTCCATTGATTTTTTAGAGAGATGGGGAGGGAGACATTGATTGGTGCCTCCCCCATGTACTCTGTGGGGATTGAATCTGCAACGCAGGTATGTGTCCTTGATTGGAAATTATACCCGAGACCCTTTGGTGCCAGCGTCCATGCTCTAACCACTGAGAACACTGTCCAGAACAAATGCTGAGCTTTTAATAAGCACAAGGAAGACTCGTGACAAAAAAAATCTGGTGAATCTCAACCTAGAATGTGCCCCTGCTCTTGATGTGTTTGGCAAGGAGGTTGAACAGACATGTCCTACAGCTAATACTACCACACCCAGTTCTGTACGCACGCTCCCCACTGCAAGGCCCAGAAACATCCGGCCGATAAAAGCAGTGAAGCCACAGCTGCTGTGATTAATGGCTGTCTAACTGCTAGAGAGGCCAGCCATCCCCTCCCACCCCACCCACCCAACCGCCTCTGTTATTAGCAACTATATAATAGGACTAAATTCTGTCTTCAGGCATCAGATAACAGGCAGTGCATGGCTGATCCTTGAGAGAAAGGACACTCACAAGGTGACCACCACCTTTGCCCTGGTTCTCTGCCAGGAGACCATTGTCCAACAGTGGCAGTGGCTGGAGTCCACAAAGCACAGCAGCCCTGAGCAGAGGGGGCAGGGGTCAGCTGAAGCAGCAGGCATCTTTGGCAAGGCCATCAAGTAGTAGAGGTTACAGAAAGGAAGGGTCTCCGAAGTCTTGGTGGAGGAGGAGGTTCCTGTTACAAGTCCTTAGCTCAGAAGTGAACTAAAAGGCCCAGGTCACCCTAACCAGTTTGGCTCAGTGGATAGAGCATCAGCCTGTGGACACAAGGGTCCCGGGTTCAATTCTGGCCCAAGGCATATACCTTGGTTGCAGGCACATCTTCAGTAGGCAGGGGGGTGGGTTGGGGGGCGGGGGTGTGCAAGAGGCAGCTGATCTAATGCTTCTTCCTCATCGATGTTTCTAATTCTCTCCCTCTCCCTTCCTCTCTGTAAAAAAATCAATATATATATATATATATATATATATATATATATATATATATAGTTGTTGTTTTGTTTTGTTTTTTGTGGTTTTTTTTTTTAAAGGCCCAGATCAAGACTGCCCAAGACTCACCAGACAGCTGGTGCTGCGGAGTGGCAAGCAGAACACAGACATGAAGGTTCAGCAGAGTTTGGACCCTGAAGTTCTTCAACAGCCAGAGTGGAAAAACCTTATTAATTAGTCACTAACAAGCTTAGCGTAAAGCTGAGACACCCCGAAAGACCACATGTCAGAATTACAGACCACTCTAAGGGACTGATTCTCACTGAGGTGATTTTGCCCCATCCCACCCCCAGCCCACATCTTTAGTCATCAATGCAGTAAAAATCAAAACCATAATGAGATACTACTTTATGCCCTTATGAATAATTAAAATGAAAAACACTGACAATAGCAAGTCCCGATGAGGATCTAAAGCCACTGGAAATCATAGGATATTGGTAGGAACCTAATACAGTACCATCGCTGTGAAAATCATTTAGCAATTTCTCCTCAAGACACAGTTATCAGATGGCAGAATGCAATGGACACTCATGGTTCTCCAGCTGCAGCAATTTCCTCTTTGAAGAAAGCTTAACCAAACAGCTTCTCCTTTCCTTAACTTATGCAGTTATGTCGTTATACAGTCAGGAGCAGAGCAAGGACGATGGACCAGGTACAGAAGGTCACCAGGGAGGAAAGTCCAAAGGGCCATCATAGTGTGGGCCATCGCCCCCAGCGTGACCTTTCCTGCCTTAGCATAGCACTGGTCATGCACTTTGGACCACCTGACCTTCCTTCCCTAGAGATAACATCTAGTCATCTGCTGTATTTCAGCTCCAAGCCCAGAAAAGCAGCAAAACCAGCCACCGCCACCTAGGGACCAGATGCATTGACTTAAAAACCCCCTGCCCTGGTGCCAGCCAATCAAGCAGTGGAGACCACAACCCTGAAAGAACACACCTG